TATCGATTATTATATCGATAAGTTCCGAAAATATCGAAAGGAAAATCGATAAAAATCTCGATAACAAATTCGATAATAACTATCAAAAGCAAAATCGATAACAATATCGCAAAAAAATTAATAACAAAATAAATAAAAAATTACGGTAACAATATCGATAAAAATATCGGTAACAAAATCGATAAAAATATGGATTCTTAAAACGTTAAGTGCCGGAAATATCGATAACCAAATCAATAAAAAAGTCGATAACAAAATTGATCAAAATATCGGTAACAAAATCCATAAAAATACCGATAAAAATATATACTACAAAATCGATAAAAAAAATACCTAAATATTATATCGATAAGTTCCGCGAATATCGATAGCAAAATAGATAATAATATCGATAAAAAAATTTATAAAAATATCGATTATTACATCGATAAGTTCCGATAATCCCGAAAAACTCTAAAACCCCGAAATACTTCCCAGATTGAGCCTCTGTGTCTCTATATACATATACCCTTTTCTTTATAACTACCTTTATTTTAAACTTTCTTCCTCTCTTTTCATCTCTCATCGGTATCCTGAACCTCATCTTTTTCTTTATATTTATCTTTGCTGGTAGCTTTATGTTTATAATTTTCTTCATCGACATATTCCCGCTTCCCCTTTTCCTTTGCCCTTATATAAGTAAAGTGTTTAAATTTACCTTGATCTTAATTTTTGCCCTTATCTTTACGCAACTTTGTTTTTGTTTTTATTTTTACCTTTGGCGTTATCCCTTGCTTTATCTATGTACGTATATACATATCCCTTAGAGACGTTGTGCCTGCGGTGCAGAGACACGTATGGCTACTTAACCTTTCAGTACATATATTTAAAACAAAACTCAGACGTGCTGTGTTTAGCAAAAATAGTCAGTATGCTGGTCTCCTTTTAAATTAAATTAAATTCTTCTGATTTTAGACTGTGCTATTATTAGTTAATAACTAGTGGAGAGCTAGCTTCCANCAAAATAGTCAGTATGCTGGTCTCTTTTTAAATTAAACTATGGTTATTCTGTTTTTAGACTGTGCTATTATTAGTTAATAACTAGTGGAGAGCTAGCTTCCAGGTCATCGAAATTATTTTATATGAATCGAGGTAAAATTATATGTAATATTTAGTACACCTTCATACCCCAATAGACCTTGCCAAACATGTATATTCCTGTAATAAATAGGTATGCAAATGCCTAAATCTGATTTTTTTTTTTTTTTTATATTTCAAACCAGCAGGGTACATGGCGTATACGTAACATTTGTCGCCACTAACACCATTTATATGTACCTACTTAAGCACATTTCTTTTAATTAACGCAAACAGCCGACAAGAAAAGGACACAAATTTCAAAAACAACAAATAACCTTGACACAAAGAGGAAAATGTGTACTTTTCTCCACTTTTTATCTGCAAATTTCAAAAGTCAACTAAGGCTCTATAGATACATACGCACATAGTGTAAACACCACCAGAAAATATCTTGACTTGTATTGACATCTTTGATAAACGTCAAATGGAAGAAAATAGGTTTGTATAGTAACTTCTCCAGTAAAACATTGCAGCGAGAGCGTAAAAGCAAAATAGAGCGTAAAATTGAGAAGAAGAGAAAACTAGCAGAAAAAGTTAATGAACACAAAACTAGCAAAAACTTGCAAGTGAACAGTCGTTGCACTGTTTTGACATTCTGCTGTAAACATTTTACTATTTATAAATCAGTCTTAAACTCTGCTTTACACACAAGCACTTACACAGTCACAATATTTTGATTTAAACTCCTTTTACTTTTGTTTGTGCTAAACCAATTCAACAAATGGCGGCTTTTGACATTTATTCTTCTTCTTCTTCAGCTAGCTAATTTCTGCTAGTAAAAATTTCACTAGCAAGAATTTGCAGCTCTCCCGTGTTGTTACGCTCTCGATTCAGTGCTCTCTTGCAAATTTTTTGGGTTATCATACGCTTTTCCAGTAAAAATTTGCAGGTTCCAGTACAAATTAGTACTGACTATTGGTTACTATACAAACCTAATGTAACGAAATGTCAGATCGTGTGTTGCCTTTTGGGAATTGTACAGATACTCGTACATTGTGTGGCAGCGAGGTATTCATTTTAGTATATAAATATGCATGTATGTATGTACATTTGTATATAAATAGCCAAAAAGCAAGTACGTCAGTATAAATACATAGCTGCTTTGCTTATGCGCCTAACTTAATTACGTGGCACTTAAGTAAGTCTTGACATTCAGCAAGTCACAAAAGAGATAAGATGGTAAGAGTAGGAAATACAAATAGGTACTACATATACAGCAAAGTAATACTTTTGAGTTGGAACGTGCGAAATTGGCAGTGACAAGTGCAGAAGAGAAAAGTTCGCTAGGTAAAGAAATGGACATATGAAAAGAGAAAATTCTGTGGATTTAATACGGTTGAATTAATGACAATATATAGTATTTTTGATGTCCGAAATAACAAAAATTTTGTTCGCCTTATACGGCATTACATTATTTTTAATAAAAAAATAAATTTAAAATAATGCATTGAATTATAAATAAATTGATTGTGAGTAGTAAACGCAGATAGTGGTAGTGATTAAAATCCGCAGTCTACTGACTGCTACTTTTTCATGTTGTATACCTTTAGGTCACGCTCGTTTTCATTTGTCGGATGTCATAGAAAGTGGCTTTTCTTTCAGTAAGTGTTGGTTCGGGTGTTCCCTGCGTTTGCAGCCGAGAAGGAATTGCTTATTTATTTATTATTTTATTATTATTATCAACAAACAGGACGCTTACAGACTATATGACAAGATACATAGAATAAGGGAAACCCTTATGACAAGTACCTTATGAGTAAATTCTTATAAGTAAACTTTGAGTAAGAAAAATCGAAATCTAAAGTTGAAGAATAAGCATTAAATTAGGAGAGAGCATTAAATTAAAGGAGCATTCATACCATAAACAGTTTTAACAACACCCACAAAAAACNTCCTCCTTAAAGGATCATTCATACCATAAACAGTTTTAACAACACCCACAAAAAAACAATTCATTACAACGAAGAATACGTGAGGGAACATTAAAACGAATTTTCATAAGGAGGTGCGAGCAATCTATAGAGCCTGNCTTATAAGTAAACTTTGAGTAAGAAAAATCGAAATCTAAAGTTGAAGAATAAGCATTAAATTAGGAGAGAGCATTAAATTAAAGGAGCATTCATACCATAAACAGTTTTAACAACACCCACAAAAAACAATTCATTACAACGAAGAATACGTGAGGGAACATTAAAACGAATTTTCATAAGGAGGTGCGAGCAATCTATAGAGCCTGCAATTATGTCAAAGACAAAGCACATCGATAACAGAGTACGCCTGGACTCTAAGGACATGAGATTTATCAACAAACAACGAGAACGATAGGACGGAATAGGGTCTACAATAGGGACTCCAATCTGTTCGTATGAACTGTAACCTAACCTAACCTCGACCGAACTAAAGACGAATACAACATTTTGAGAGTATAAGGATCGGAAAATGACGAGCAGTTGCGACGAATAAAGGCCAACATCNTCTGCAAACAAATACAGCATATTCTAACCTCGACCGAACTAAAGACGAATACAACATTTTGAGAGTATAAGGATCGGAAAATGACGAGCAGTTGCGACGAATAAAGGCCAACATCGCGAATGATTTAGAAACAATAAAGTTTATGTGGATGGTGAAGGTGAGCTTGGAGTCAAAATAAACACCCAAGTCTTTAAAATCAGTAATTGATTTTAGCGGGACATTCGAAAAACAGTAAGTGGTTGGAACAATACTAATCAGTTTTGCAAAAGAGGTATAATGACATTTACCAATATTGAGGGACAAACGATTACGCGCACACCAACAGTACAAATTATCAAGCTCACCCTGGAGAATCAATGAGTCTTCTATATTTTTAATTTCATAGTATATCTTCAGGTCATCCGCATATAGAAGAAACTTACATTTTGAGAAACAGGAAGATATATCATTCATAAAGATAACAAATAATAACGGGCCTAAGACACTACCCTGGGGAACACCAGAGGAGGAGACAAAAAAATAAGACGATACATTATCAAGACGAACAACACAGCGTCCATTGTACAGATAGGATGTGATCCACTTCAGAAACTCTGAATGAAAGCCCAGGCCTTCAAGTTTAGCTATCAATATTCGATGAGGCACCCTGTCAAAAGCCTTAGAGAAATCGGTATATATAGCGTCAATTTNATATCAATATTCGGTGAGGCACCATGTCAAAAGCCTTAGAGAAATCGGTATATATAGCGTCAATTTGGAATCCCTTTTGAAAGGTTTCCAAACAGTCCTAAACAGTCTAAATTGGTTAACGTAGATCTACCCGGTTAACAGCAAAGTAAATTGTATCTTTAACTATGGACTCAAACAGTTTTGAGACAGTGGTAAGCTTAGAAATCGGCCTATAATTCTCAATATAATTTTTATTACCACTTTTAAGAATTGGCGTAATAAAAGTCAATTTCCAGTCATCGAGGAAAACTCCGGCAGATAGAGACATGTTAAAAATGTGCCTCAAAGGCGCAATTAGTGAAGNTGAAGGTATAACTACTTATGTTCCCTGAAGGAAATGCATTTAGTGCCGATTGTGCAGGCAGTGTTCAAGCGACATGAGAAGGCATTCCGTTGCAGTCCACAGTATAGTGTTTTGACATAATTTATAACTGTCCCCCTAATTACTTGCATTACTTTAATTGTGCCTTATGCGGTATCGTGAACGATTGGAGGCCTTTGTTGTGGCTCTGTAGTTTGATCACTAAGTACATGCATATTTCCTAGTCTCATTGCTTGCAACTCCACTCTTCTACATTTTTAATATCGAAAATTTCTATATATTAGTGACAAACTAAGAGAAAATAAACCCCCTACCACACTTACTGCGTATGCTATTACTTGCTACACACACTCACCTGTAGTCCGCCTTCGCATAGCAATGGCCGAGAAATCGACACTGCAGTGTATTGCACTGATACGTCTTCACCTGCTGCTGCACCTCATAGGTAATATTGAAGCCATATACGTCCAGCAGACGATCCAAGGCGCGCAAATGTGTGCCATCCAAAGAGGCCATCGTGAAACGTATCTCCAGATACTGACTACTAAATTGCACCCATGCCACCTGTGTCACGTCATCTTCAGTAAGTGTGAACACACGGTGTGCCGGCACTTTATAATCATCCGAATAGTACATATATTCGGTGAACTTGAGGCCACCCAGCACATACAATTGCGTTAGGTAAACGATGATGGAGACGTTGGTACCACCGCCACCGCCGCCTACAGCTGCAGCAGCGGAAGTTGTAATTGGCAGCTCAGAGGCATCAATTACCCACACACATTCGATGGGTGCTGAGAATTTATGTGGAAAATTTGGTGTCTGTATAGTGCCATAGCGCGACTTAAGGATGCCACCGCAAAGCGAATTTGTGCGATGTGTGGCTGAGAAGGCGGAAGAGGCGGACGAGAAACCGGCGAAGGCATTCAAAACATTGCCACCGGTGCTGATGTGCTTGGCGCCGCCGCCGCCACCGCCGCCACCGCCGCCGCTAAATGGTGAAATTGCAAAATTGCCGGGAAAAGGTGGTGGCGTCGGTAATGGCACAGCGGGTAATGGATTGTAGTGCGCTGCAGTGCCGCTGCTACTCTGTAATGCGCTAAGCTGCTGCGTTTTATGTGGGAGCGCTGCTTGTTGCCGCTTAAAACGCAATGCTGGCCAATGTGAAAGCGGTGAAATTGCTGCACTTGGCGGCGGATAATTGATATGACTACTGGTATGTGCGTTTTTAAGGCGCAAAGAGAAGGTGGCAATTGTTGTTGCTGGCGCGGGTGTTTTGTGCAGGATTTTCGAATTGGTGATGGGCTTAACATCTAAAACGATCTGATGCTTGAGAATGTCATGTACGGCGGAGCCCGGTTTCTTATCCTCCAGTGCTGGTGTTAAATTCTTGGCGCTGCTCACATTCGCGAAAAGACCTTCTCTCACCAGTTGGTTGGTGTCTATGCTAAGCTGAGTTGCTCTCGTTGCTGTGAGGATTTTACTGCCATTGAGACAGGGGGTAGTTTTCTCTTTCGCCGGCGCTTCTTCCGCATTCTTATTTTCCCTTAGTACTCTTTTTCCCTTTCTGCACTCAACACCTTCTATATGCCATTCCGCAATTTTGCTGCCCTTCGATACCGACTCTCGTATCGTCTCTGCTGAAAACGCTTGTTCGCTGCCGATTTCTATGAACCTTCTGGTTACTCTGTATTCTCTTTTTTGATGCGTGCCTCCGGTAGTTGTTGCTGTATTGTGTAGTAGTGCGATTAGCAGCAGCATACAAAGCGGCAACTTATNTCAGCGTGGAAGGTACACTTTTTAGTGAAGCGCAAGTACACATACATACATATGCCCACAAATGTAGGCAGACACGCGACCTACATAAGTGCGCATGGGTGTGCGCAAACTTTTTCTATGCCATGCGGATGTAAAAACTGGAAGCGGAAGCAAATACAATGCGCACAAGCCCTTTGCAAAGGCACACACACACGGCTGGGTTAGCTCCTATCAAAGTAAGCTGAACCAATATGTTGCCTTTTTTATGTCTTTTTTAATATACATCTGCTGCAATGCCGCTTGTCAATGTCAAGCAAACATGGTCACACAGGATTGGCTGACGTAAAAACATAATTTTTCTTAGGCAAACACATCGACGTGAAATAGTGAAATTGGTGCAATTTGCAGTAAGTGAAACAGATTTATGCATTTTTTTGGATGTGTGTTTTTTAGGAAATTATACTGCAGGTTAGGTCCCCCCTGTAGAACTTATTTTGATTATTTCAGGTTGTCATTTCGTCGGATGATCTTATCGTCCATGCTTCTGTGCTTCGCACGGTGAACGATCAATAAAGAATATTTTTATTTTAGAAATAGGACTTCACGGATCAACTTTCCTACTATTACTTTCCTCCGTAAGGTCTTTCCAAAGACACCCTAACTTGGCATTCAACGCAAGCATGGTGTTAGTGTTGGTGGCCAAGTTCACCGTTCACCAACAGACCCCACCGCCGGCGTGGCGCCTTTACTACTTTCGGAAAGGTAGAACAAAAGGTGCGGTTGTTGAGCTCAAAGTAGCTTCTCGAACATCTTTCAGAAATCTCGTTTGTCTTCAAATGAAGTATTACTTTTGCGGGGATACAAAACTCAAATATCGCAGCAAAGGAGCAATTCTTTTTCGTGCGGTTTCAAATGGCTATAAATTCGATCAAAGCTAAGGTACGCGCTCATCCTCTTTTCGATTTGAGGATCTGGTTTATCATCTTCTCTAAGATTGCCACTGCTGGTACCATTACGTCGGTTCAAGAAAGAAATGTCCTCCGCAGTTCGTCAGTCTTGTTCTAACATAAATTCGTCCCGGTCCTACACTGAAAAAAAAAATTCGTAAAAGTGCTACGAAAAATTTTCGTAGTCTTGGTTTTTGTACAATGTACGAAACTTTCGTTCATTATACGAACATATTTTTCACAACAAAACAAGATTTTATGAACCATTCGTAAATATAATGAAATGACTTTCGTAAGGCATTTTTTCAGTAGAATTTACGAAATCTTACGTTTATTTTACGAAACACATTCATAAATTACTGAAAAAATCTCTGTGCGAATAATTTTGTATATTGTACGAATGTATTCGTAATGTTTACGCGTGGTTTTAAAATATACGAAATCTACAATTCTGTATTCGTACAATTTACTTAATACTTTCGTATATAGAACTAATGCAGAAACTTGTTTTTTAAATTCGTACAACAGACGAATATTTTCGTACAATATACTAAATTACCGGCAGTTTAATATTGCATCACATTTTTATGTACGCGGTACTGTCATTGCGAAATTCCTGGTTGGCTGCTGTGAGACGTATAATATAATTTTAAACGTTTTAAGAGGGTTTTGCTGGATAAAATCAAAATAAAAGCGTTGCGTTATGATTCGTACTATGTTTTTTACAGTGTGGCGAGTGAAAGCAATTGCAAATTCTACGAAACAACTGCAGATTTTAGGAAAATAATTTCGTTAAATACACGAATTATTTTTGTGCATTTTACAAAAATTTCGTAAAAAATAAAGAAATAGTACGAATTTCTTTAGTAAATAGTACGAAATTCGTTCGTACAATGTACTAAGATGTGATGTCTCATATTTTCGTAGTATGTACGAAAACGGTTTTGTACAATCAACGAAAACTTTCGTGGCTCAAAATGACGAAAATTTTCGTAAGATGTACGCAAGTTTTCGTTATATTTACGCAGATTTTATTTTCAGTGTATAACCTTTAAGATTGAGTTTTAGGTCGTTATTGCTATCCGCCAGCGTCTTAGGCACTATGGACTCACGCATTTCGCATTTATTTTCTTCCTTTTCCGAATTTCGTTAACGTTTCCTTAAGGGAGCATCTGAGTTTTCAGCGGTAGTGAGACACGTTAAAAGTCTTAATAATAATAATAGATTGGCGCTTACACATATGTTAGTGTTTGGCCGAGCTTCTCCTCCGAATTGTGGCGTGCGCCTTAATGTTGCCACACAAAGTGGAGGGACCTACAGTTTTACGCCGACTCCGAACGGCGATTGTATTTTTGTGAGAAACTGTTTTTCATGGCAGAAAAACACTCGGAGGTTTGCCATTGTCTGCCGAGGGACGACTGCGCCGTTAAAAGTCTTAGTTCTTTATTATATCGACGGCTGGGTGGATGATCGAACTATGTATCTTGATAGCCGGGTCGAAAACGCCCTATCTCAGAAAATTTTTGAAGAATGCCCAATTTTACAATTTGGTTGTAATAAACCCTACCCCAGAACTTTATTGAAGAACTCCCTTATTCAGAATTCAGTTAAAAACGTCCTAGCTCAGCTGCCGCTTCAAAAACGCCCTATCTCAACATATTTTCAATAGTGGTATTCATCAAATTGAGCAAGTGGCCTCGCACTCTGGAAAAAGAGCAGATGAGCTCAAGCAACGAATGTTGACAACAGTGATTGATTGAGCTGATCTGCTCTTTGGCCAGACTGCCAGGCCACATGCTCACTTTGCTGAATACCACTAATATATTTTCAGTCGAGATAGTGCGTTCTCCAACCAAATTCTGAGATAGAAAGATTTCAAACAAATTCTGAAGAAGGGCCATTTTCTGAGATAGGGCATTTTCGATCCGGCTGCCGAGATAGGTCGCTCTTCCTCGCAGCCTTCGAAATATGATTGTTGTGGTAGGCTCCCCCCAGGGAGTTCCGCGTAAGTGGAACTAGGGGCTTGACAACCCTGAGGTACCCCGCCAAAGGCTACCAGTCCTGAGTCGAGTGGAAGCTCAACTGGTAGAAGTTTACGGCTTTCGAGGTCTGATCCGAGACTTAATTCTGATACCATGGGGAGCAAAATGCCCACGGAGTGTGTTCGCTGGCTAGATGGGCAAAGCTAGAGGGACAAGCATGACATGCAAGACAAGCACGATGAGCACTTGCAAGACTTGCAAAACGGTGAGAAAGAAATTGAATGGAAGGAAGAATAAAATGGTGAAATTGTGTATAATGGTGAAAATGTCTCCAAGCGGGAGGTATCAGGTGTTCATGTGAACAAGTTTGGCAAGTCTGGCAAGTGCAAATTGGGCAAGTCGAGCAAGTCGGGCGAGTCTGGCTGGTCGAGCCAGTCTGGGGGATGAGCATTACTCCGGTCTGTTCATGGTGCGGCCCTTCGGGAGGTATCGTGGTGGTTGTGGTTTAACGCCCAAATGCGGGTAGAACCAGCAATGGTTCAATGTCGAGTTGCATTGCAAGCGGATGCCGGGATCTAGAGAACGGCAGAGGCTTTTGGTAGGTTTCGGCCCTACCAAGGTGGTAAGTGTGTCCACCCAACACTGCCAATTGGTGCTGAGTGCTGGTCAAGGCATTTGAATTGATCCGTGCAAGAAAAACACTTTCTCTACTTTGTGCACAGTGTTTCGCTAACTACCTTACCATGATCAGGTACGATTTTTGTTGTGACGGAGGCAGTGCTCAAGAGTGCGCTACACAGGGGAAGATCTTTCGCAACACAAAACCGACAACGAACTGCGCTCCTTAATGAGCAATTGGCAATTTGATGGTGCATAATCCTAGTGTCTTCTTATCTTGCTCTAATCACCAAATCTCTAAGGGTAGCAGTGATGTCTGGCTTACTACACTACACCAAAAGCTTCTATTACATTTATATTTATTAAATTTTACATGCCCTTGAACTATCCGTGCATAAGGCAACTTTTTAAATCAAAGTGGAAACTAAACTTTAACGATTTTCACCAAGTGTTATGCAAGTCAAATCGAATTTTTAAATCGAAAACACCAAAATTTTATTTAAATTGACTACACAGATATATTCACTTATTCTTAAATATATATATATAAAAATGTGCTCTATGAAAGCTACACCCCGAAGTAAAGCTCTTAAGCAAAGCTTATGCGTTGATGGGTGAAAGCGGTAAATAAATAACATCAAACTCAAACGCGAAATCGTGAGAACAAGCGGAAAACAAAAAAAAATGGGTACTAAAGCGCCAGTAGGAAATAATTGTTTTAGACAGTAACTGAAACGAAAAAAGGCAACCTGATATTTTTTTAGCAAAAAAAAATTGCTTTTCGCTTATCAGACATTAAAAAAAAAGAACGAAATTCCCGTTTCATGTGGCGCGAACCGTAAAATACGGAAGTACCGAGTACAAAAAATTGTGAAAAATAAATAAAAATTAAAAAAAAATTTCGAGATAAGAAACGAAAATTTAAGACAACTTTTTTGTCAAATCCTAAATTGCCTTATAAAATAAAATATGAAAACATTTTCTTATATGTGAGGAAATTCTATGCTTCACAACATTTTGAAATGAATTTTATCAACAATTTGTGGAGTTTACCTATTAGGTATTCCACTCCCCTGCTCACTTCGAATATGAATTTTTAACTAAGTACTTATGCACGCATGAATATTGATTGACAAACGCACCTGCTCCTCTGGCACACGCGCACACACACACACGCGCACACACACACACACACACACACACACACACACAC